CTAGGTTTTTGGAAGTCTTACTGATTTGTTAACCTTTTCAGTATCTGTATTTTCCATTGAACAAGTGAGGTCTTTATGTCCATGACCTTGCGGTCTCTCCCTCCCCCAACACATTTTAGTCCTTGATTTAAACATTTATTAAGAGACAGCAATAAGTATTTTTGTTATTTCATCATGAAAGTATTTCACAAAAGTATTTCATCACCCTCGTTCCCATTTCTCTTCTTAGCATCTAGATTCTTTCCTTACTTCCTCCAAAGCATGTTTTCAGGGTAGGTCTCTGTGTGGCAATCCTTCTGAAGTCTTTCAGGCTTAGAGATCATTTTATTATCCTTTAATATATGACACACTACTCCGGGGGGCAGAACCATGTCCAGGGCAGTGCCTGTTCTGCAGACTTGGGATGTCTTCAGGCAGCCTGTTCTGCTGTCTGCATGCGTTGTTGCTGAGAAACCCAATCCTTGAATGTTTATCCTTCCTGGGTGATTTCTTTCCCTCTGCCGCTTTTACAGTGTTCTCTTTGTCTTTGATATTCACAAACATAGCATTCTGTGATTTTTCCTTATTTGGCATTCAATGAGACCTTTCCTTTTTAAAATATTTTTTCTTTTTTACATACATAACTGGCAGTGCTGTGTGTGTTAGTTCCTTGACCGGGGACTGGACCCCAGCCCCTATATTGGAAGCAGGCTTAACCACTGGACTGCCAGGGAAGTACCCAGTGAGACCTTTCAACCCGAGGTTTCCCAGCGTTGCTCAGATGCGGAGAATTCCTCCTCACCGTTTCTTGAGACGCGCCCTGCCCTTGTATCTGAAGGCTGGTGCGCGTGTCGAGCTCCCACCGCTCCTGGTTTCTCTCTCGCGCGCTTTCCTGCTGTCTTTCAGCTGTGGCATTCATCGTGTATTATTTACACTTCCCGCTTTGGTTCGGTTGAAAACCAAGTTCTTGTTGGAGCGTCACACTGCGGACACCCGCCGCCCCTCTCGAGGCGCCTGCGCCCCTCGGTCCCCAGGATTCGGCCCTGGCGCCTGCGGGGGGCTCTGCCTGGCTGGCACGGGACTCACCCCCAGCCGCGGACGAGGCTGGCCAGTGACCTCCACTCTGCCCGGCGTCAGCCTGCCGAGCAGGCCCAGTGCCTGGGGGGCTGAAGAGCGGACCCTGTGGAGCAAGCTGGGGCCTCTCCCCCGAGTTGTTAAGCGTCGGGGACCCCCACACCGAGCAGCCCCCCTCACCTTCCGCCCCGACCCCACGGTGGGGTGGGGTCCCCGGGCTGGGCGTGGTGCGGCGGGCGGTGCCCCCCTCCGCGCCTTCACTCGGCCTCTGGGCGTCTGTGGAGAAGGAGCTGCCCGCGCTGGAGGGAGGCGCGCGGCTCCACGGCCCCACCGCCCCGGTTCCCGCTTCCCCAGCCGCACCTCTGCCCTCCCTCACGGTCAGGGCTGCTCCAGGGGCCCCGGCGGCTTGGCTTTGTGGAGCCGACGCGCCCTTGAATTGCAGCTTCTCGGGGGAACGGCGGCCCTGACGAGAGCCACGCTGCCGCAAAGTAGCCCCTCCCTCGGCCAGCGGACCCTCAGCCGGGGTGAGGTGCCCCCGGCCCCGACCTCAGCGGCCCAGTCGGCGGCCTAGACTCTCCCGCCCACGGGGACGGGGCTCGGGGGTGGGCGCACAGCCGGACCCTCCAGTGCCCACCCGCCGCCTCAGCCCGTGCCTCCCGCAGCTCTTGCCGCTGGACGGGGAATTCGTCCTGGCCTCGGGAGCTGGATTCGGCGCCGCGGACGCCGGCTCGCGCCCGGACTGTGGCACAGGTGAGGGGGTCGCGCCGGGGGGCGCGGCCGGCCGGGAGGGCGCGTTCCCGGCGGAGCTCAGCGTTGCGCGCTCGCCCAGGCGCCCGCGCGCGTTTCCTCGACCCCGACCGCTTCCTGTGGCTCGACCCGCTCCTGTGGCGCCCCGGGGACGCGGCGAGCGGCCTCTTCTCCGTGGACGCCGAGCGCGTGCCCTGCCTCCACGACGACGTCGTCTTTCCGTCCGACGCCTCCTTCCGGGTGGGCCTGGGCCCGGGCGCCGGCACCGTGCGCGTCCGCAGCGTCCAGGCGCTGGGCCAGGTGGGGAGGGCGCGCGGGGGGTGGGGGGTGGGCGCGGGTCTCCCCGGAGCGCCTCCTATCCTGCTAGCCTGGTCGGTTCCGGGCGCTCAGACGCGGTCTCGTGCTCCGGCCGGTTCCCGGGCTCACCCGGCCACCTGCAGACGCTCGAGCGCGAGGAAGACCTGGCGGCTTTCCTGGCGTCCCGCGCGGGCCGCCTGCGCTTCCACGGGCCGGGCGCTCTGAGCGTGGATCCCGAGGCCTGCACGGACCCGTCGGGCTGCGTCTGCGGCAACGCCGAGGTGAGGGCGGCCCGCCGCGGGGCGGCTGGAGTGGCGGGAGGTCGGGGCTGTACCGCCGCGCCCCGCCGTCTCGCCCGCTCTCTCCCCGGGCGCGCGGCGCTCTCTCCTGGTCTGCCCCTCGCCCTCACCCCAGCTCCCCGTTTCCAGGCGCAGCCGTGGATCTGCGCCGCGCTACTTCAATCCCTGGGTGGCGGCTGCCCCCAGGCCGCCTGCCTGGAGCCCCTCCGGCCCGAAGGGCAATGCTGCGACCTCTGCGGTGAGCGCCCCGCCACGCCCCTCAGAGCTGGGGCGGCGCGGCCACCCGGCCTCGCCCCAGCCTGTTTCCTTGCCGGGCTCGGACCTACGGGGCTGACTCCTTCTTCCCTTCCTGCTGCAGGAGCTGTCGTTTCGCTGACCCACGGCCCTGCCTTTGACCTGCAGCGGTACCGGGCGCGGCTGCTGCACGCCTTCCTGTCTCTGGTACTGCGGCCGCGACCCCAGCCCGGCCCCCACCCTTCCGCCGCCGGGGTCTGGGAACACCCCCTCCGCCTCCTCCTTGATGCGTTCGCTCTCCGCCTGCAAAGCGCTTGTCCCTGCCCGCTTCGTCCCCTCAGGTCCGAGGGACGGAGTCCCCGGGCCAACTCTGTTCCCCTCCAGCCCCAGTACCAAGGGCTGCAAGTGGCCGTGTCCAAGGTCCCGCGGCCGCCCAGGCTCCGCGAAGCCTCAGGCGCGAAGGCGGACACAGAGATCCAGGTGGTGCTGGTGGAGGCCGGGCCCGAGATCGGCAGCGTGGGGCGCCTGGCCCGGGCCCTCCTGGCGGACATCGCGGAGCACGGTAACCGCGGCGCCCCTTTCCCAGTTCCCGCCCCGGTCTCGTCCCGCCCCGGGATTCTGAGCCGGCGCCCTCCGTTGCAGGCGAGGCCCTCGGAATCCTCTCGGCGACTGCTCGAGAGTCTGGCGCGCCTGTCTGGGGCGGCTCGGCGGCGGGGCTGAACGCGCCGGCGCGCGCGGGGCTGGCGGGCGGCTTGGCGGCCGCCGGGCTCCTGGTGCTGCTGGCGCTGCTGGCGGGGGCGCTGCTGCTGCGCCGCGAGGGGAGGCTCAGGTTCGCGGGGCTCGGGGACGCGGGGCGGGGGCTCGGGGCTCGGGTGTGTCGGGCTCACACTCGTCCCTGCTCCAGGTGGAGGAGGCGCGACGAGGCGGCCCCCGCGCGGGCCGGGGCGCCGCTGGGCTTCCACAACCCTGTGTTCTACGCGGCGGACTCCGCGGAGGCGGTGAGGGGCGCCCGGGGTCGGGGGTGCGCGACCTCTTCGCGATCGGGCTCCCTGACTCTGCGCTCCCGCAGCTCCCGACCCCGAAGTCGGACCAAAGGAGCTCCAGCCGCAGCTACTTCCTTAATCCGCTGTTTGACGAAGCGGAGGCCGAGGCCTGAGCGGCCGCGTGACCGACCCGTCGCACCCCGACCCCAGCCCCATCCAGGGGGCATCGCGGGCCCCGCGGGATCCCCCACCTTCTGCTGGCCTAGCCCAATAAAGCGATTTTTTGCACCTGCTGTCAGCGTGGACACCTCGCGCATATCCTGCGCCTGTCTGCCCCTGCCTGGTCGGAGATGGGAGGGCCAGGTCGGATGGTGAGGGGTGGTCCTCAGAGCCCGGTCCCACTGGTGCCTAGCCACCCAGGGCAGTCCTGGGTGTGCCTGTAGGCTGGGGCGGGCCGAGGCTTCCGGCCTGAGAAGGCCCTCCCAGAGCCAGGACGGCTTGCAGTGTTCCGGAGGAGCCCAGAAAGAAGCCCTTACTGGGGGAGGGGGGTTCGGGGGCTGCGCAGAAGAGGGTGGCGGAGCCGGCTGCCAGCTGCTCAGGCCCAGGTTGAGTGGGCTGCACCAGGGCCAGATAGTTGGGCCTGGACTTCCGTGGGGCTAGGGTGCCCAGCGGGTTGGCCCAGCAGCACAGTGGGTCTGTCCCCTCTGCAGGCGGGGGCAGAGCTGCCCGCTTACCGTGTTCGAGAGTGGCTGCATGCTGGCGTGTGTCCTGCGGGAGGGGGCTCTTTGGTGTTGGAGGCCTTGAGGCCAGGACTGGCCCACGCCCCCCTCCTGTGGGCAGCTGAGGTCCGCGGTGGGTGAGGGCTGAGCCGCTCTGGGTAGGACCGTGACTTGGTAGGTAATGACGGGCCGGCAGTGGGACGGTGATGTGTGTGTGAGATTGTACGGACAGTGTGACCAGCTTGAACTGTCAGGGAGACACCTCCGTGCCCAGCATTGGGAACACCCGCCCCCAGGGTGACTGCTGGTGACCTGCTGACGGTGAATTCACTCTTACGCTCCCATCTCTGTGCTTCGCGGCCAGCACCTTGTGAAGCTCGGCCACATCGTGGGTGGTGGTTACTCTTGGTGCTATTACAATAGCTAGTATTTCATTTAAGAATGGCTCACACTTGAGCACCTGTTTCAGACCAGAAACAGGTGCTCCTGTGGGTCAGACGTCTGGGTGGGTGGGGCAGGGTGGGGGGCAATACCCCACGCCCTCTCTGACCCCACTGCCCACCACCTGCTCACTGTGGGCCTGCACTTGCATTTTCTAGGTGCTGGACGTTGCCTCGGGGCATCTGCCTGTACCTTGTGTAGGGACGGCGGGGGGGAGGCGGTTCGCGGGGCTCCTGCTCCCCCTGGGGCAGTGGTGGGCCACTGGCCGCACTGACTGGCAGAGCTGCAGGGGGCCCGGGATGCTCCCCAGGAACTGTGTGCCAGCTCTCTGCATCCTGTCCATCCTCAGCGCCCCCTGCCTGCATGTCACCAAGAGCTTATTGCGGGTCAGTGTACCCAGCCCGCCACAGGCTCCTGGGTCCCCAGAGCCCCTGAGTGCCATGTGCTCACCCTACCTCCTCGTGAGCGCCCCCTCCTGGGGATGGTCAGGCAGTCCTGTTTTCTCTCTCTGAAGCCTAGCAGGGACACTGGCCAGACAGCCCCTCCCTCCAGCCAGAAGCCCACCCCAATCCGGGGCGTCCCCGAAGGCCCCCCGGGACCTGGGCAGGCGACAGGTCCTGGCCTCCAGCTCCTGCCATGTGGACTCCGACCCCCCACCACTGCAAGGCAAGATGGTTCTTCCAGCACAGGGGGCCTTCTGGTGCACCAGCTGACTACAAGTCCATTCAGACAAACCACCGAGAACTTTAAAACTGCCGTCTTCTGCTTTATTGACAGGTAAATTGTTCAAAAATGTTCTCACGATTCAATAATTACAAAGACTCAGACTTACATTAAAAAAGTAAAAACCAGAACCCCCAGCAGGTGCCAGCCCCCGCAGAAGGCCCGGGGGGCGGGCAGGCAGGTGCTGGGTGTGTGGCACGCACGGGCAGGCCGTGCTGCCCACGTCACTCAGCACTGACTCACGGCAAACGCACGTCTTCCACAGCGTGGCGAGGACGTCGGCTGGCAGGGGCAGAGGGAAGCCTGCCGGCGGCTCCCGGCAAGCTTTCAGAGACAGGCCGCGCCGGGAGGGGAGGCAGAAGCGCGCGGGGTGCTGGGGGTGGAGTGTGGCGGCGTCTACACCATCCAGTAGAGGGCACGAATCGCAGGGCTCCATGCGGGGCGGGGTGCCCCTGGCGCGGCCTCTTGGCCCGTGGGCACGGGGCCCAGCACCCGCCACCCGCTGGCTTCAGGGCCGGAGGCTGAGCTGTGGAAGCGAGCAGGACGCAGAGCACGGCTGACTTCACAGTAGTAGAGACGTGACACGTGTGGTTGTGACGGGAACGGGCTGACCCGAGAGGGCGTCTGTCCACGGCTACAAGGTCGGCAGGAGGACTTCCACCTCCATGTATGGGCTAAATGAACGAAAAGGCCACGAACTAACCTCCACGTTTCCTGTCTTCAAGACTCTAGTGACACTGGGAATGATATACAACTTCCTACCATGCTCCTAAGCGCCTAGGAAACGGCTTCAGGGAACAGGGCCGGACACGGCCCCAAGGCCGTCCTGAGCTGCCTGCATCCATGGGGGCCGCGGCCGGCCCTGGAGGGCGGGAGGGGCCGGAGGCATCCTTCATGTGCAAACAAGCTGTGTCGCCTCACAGCTGTGCAGAGGGTGATCTGGTCTACCGCCAGACAGTGCGGCACGGAACTGATTGTTATTATAATAAAGCATTTTCTTCATCTCCATATCTACACATCGAGTCCACATTTCCTTGGACAACACTGGAGGCTCAGCTCAGTCTTGGCACTGACACTGCAGACCACCTGGGCCCCCGGCCCTGTGGCGGGAGCCGGCGGCTTCAGGCATCGCAGGACGGCTGCTCCAGGCCTTCGAGGGGCAGCTGGCTCCTGTGGGGGGAGTTGGGGCTTGGTGGGCCGCTGGGGTTGGAGCTGTTGGATGGAGTTGAGTGTTTGGTGGAATCTGAATCGGGCTGTGAAGACAGAATGGGGAGGGCGTGAGAACCACCACGGAGGGGAGCTGTCTGGGCCGGGCGTCTCCTTCCGAGTTACCGCGACACTCTCTACAGGCTTGTCACATGGTCCCTGCAGGAGATCACAAACCAAGGCCCACCACCCCCGAGACTCGTGTAACTATTACCAAAAGGAGTAACTGCCATGAAGAACCCAGGCAGTGCTGCGACCAAGTGGGCCAAGGTCACAGACGTGCGGCTCTTTCAGGGAATAATAGGAACTTTCTCCACATGACACCCAGTGGTGAAAGGCAAAGCTCCCCATTCAGAGCAGGAACAAGGCCAGGTTGCTGCCGTCACTGCTGCTCAATACCATGCTACAAGGTCCAGCCACTGGGTGAGTAGAGACCGCATCCACCAGGGAAAGGAAGAAGTAAAAGCATCTCTGCTCACAGCTGACCCAACTCTAGGGATAAAAACACTAAAGCGCTTAACGAATTCAGTAAAGCTGCAGAATGCAAGGTCATCACAAAAATCAGTTCTGCTTCTAAATACCAGCAATAAGCAATCTGAAAAAGAAACTAAGAAAACAATTCCATTTACAATAGCATCCAAAAGGATAAAATATATCCAAGAACAAATTTAACCAGAGACGAAAGATCTGTATACTACGACTATAAACACTGCTGAAAAAAATTTAAAAAGACCACCTGAATAAATCGAAAGGCATCGCATGTTCATGGATTGGAAGACTACTGTTAAGATGGCATCAACTGTGATCAACCTTCAGATTCAATGCAATCGTTACCAAAATTCTAACAGACTTTTTGGGGCAGGCACAGAACTGGAAAAGCCAATCCTCAAATTCACATAGAACTGCAGAAGACCCAGAAGAGTCAAAAGAAAACTGCCTAAGAAAAAGCTGGAGGCATCACACTTCCCAAACTCACTGCTTCACAATGTACTGCTGGGACTTCCCTGGTGGTCTGGGGGTTAAGAACTCGTCTGCCAACTCAGGGGACATGAGTTCAATGCCTGGTCAGGAAACTAAGATCTCACATGCCGCGGGCCAACTAAGCCCATGCTCCACAGCAGAAGCCACTGCGATAGGGACTGCATACCATGACGAGAGAGCAGCCCCCACTCACTCACTAGAGACAGCTGGGCAGCAACCAAGACCCAGCGCAGCCACAAATAAGTCAGTCTGAAGGAGAAGCTAAGAAACTGTCCTCAAAATGGGGAACGAACAGATGTGTTGCGCTCCCGCAGGTTCCAGGTGCTGCAGCAGACGCTCCAGGAATAGCAGCATGTAGACAGAAGCAGGCAGCAAACACTGACGGGCAACCGGACAGGATGGAGGGAAGGAGGCGGCGCCATGTGCTTCAGAGGGAAAGCGGCTCAGATCCTCGCCCGCACACGCCAAGACACACTCTCACACCCCTCAGAACACGGTGAACAGAAAGGAAAAGCCTCCCAGGTTCTCAAAGAGAATTTGTCTTAATTGAAAAAGACTGTACAAGAACTAAAAATTTCTACATGTTATAGTTCTATATGACAACACCCTTACAATTAAAGACAAAATTAAAATGTCAGTGATACTGGGAAAAGTACTTGCAGCAGGTAACACCCACAATCTATGAAGAGTTAGGAGGAGACAGTCCCTCAAGAGCAGCCGGGTGAAGGGTGCAGAGGTGGACTTGGAAATGGCTGACCACACGCCTCGAGTTCTGGGCATGCCAGGAAGGTGAGGGACTCTTGGTGGAGCCCTGTTTCTGCCGTCACTGCGGCAGCCCTACGCCCCCGGCCTCCCATCACAGGAGTGCTGCCGGGGCCCAGCCCTCGGCACGCGGCCTCCTGCTCCCCCCCCACCACACGGGGGGACTGAGGACACTGCCATCTGGAGTGGGACCCCCGAGAACACCCGTAGTGACCCCCAACACTGATCCCACAGGGCTGCTGGAGGTGGAGAGAGGGCAGGACACACGAGGCCACTTGTGCACCTCCTGGGGTTCCAGCCATGTCTGTGAGACTACGCGGAAACGTCTCGACATAAGCAGCCTCCCTGCATGCTCCACACATCCGGCCGCCCGCCCAGGCAGTGCCCAGGAGGAGCCCTTGGCCGCACCATCCTCAGCGAGGCCAGGGGGCCAGGCCACTGGCAGCCGGGCCTGAAGGAGGCCTCAGTCTCTCGAGGCCACGACGCAGCGGGGAGAACCCTCGTCCTTCTCCAACAGACTCACAGACTCGGAGCCCGTGTCCTCCCGCTCTGGGCACAGCCCGAGCAGCCCAGAGAGGGAGGTTCTGGGGGGTTGGGGGCTGCGGAGGCCTGAGGTGGCCGCTCCAGGGCAGACGGAGCCTCAAGCCTGGGGGGCTTCCGCCTTCACCAGGTGAACCTCACCTCTTTGTCAAAGTCCTGGTCAGGGTCAGACATACTCCTTAGCGGCATAGCCACTCCAGGTTCAGATCCCCCTGCAAAGTGAAGATGGCCGTCACCCTAGGGGAAATAGTCGCAAGCAGAGCTGCAAGCCCTGGCCCCGTTTCCAGGCGCCACTGTGGCCCCTACCTGACGAAGGCCAAGAGACGTAGGGCTTGTTCCTGGGCGGAGGCGGGCGGGATAGGTTGGCGGGGGCCAGGCCCGGCCTCTCCTCCTGTGTGGGGGGCACGGCACTCTGCGCAGAGAGGAGTGTGTCAGCTCAGGAACACGCACCAGCTGCCCGGGGCGGGTAGCTAGGCCCCGGGCAGAGCGCACGGGCCACGTGCAGAGCCTGCAGCAGCACCAGGCGGGGGCCCTGGGCCTCGGTGGGGAAACTGTTGGGAAGGCCCTCTGGACAGCCGCGTCGGTCAGCTTTGCCCCAAGAACTGGCAGTGAGTGAGGGCCAAGCATGCTACCTGCCCTTACTGCGCTGTTTTGGCAGTCATTTTTGACAGCGATTTCCTCGTGACGCGGTAACAGACGGCCAGACCCTCAGGGCGCGTGGGGAGGGGAGCGGCGGGGCGGCCGGGGCTCACCAGAGGCAGGTCCATGAGCACCTGCATGCCGTCGCCCGGGCCCATGTGGGCCACGTGGTTGAAGTTGGTGGGGTTGGAGATCATCTTGGACCGCAGCTCCGGGTCTCGGAGCATCTCTCTGCAGAGGGAGGCGGCGGGGGCGGCGTGAGGCCCCGCCTCGCCCCGCCCCACCGGCCCGAGGCCCCGCCCCGCCCCCGCGGCCCCACCTCCGCTGCTGCAGCCGCTCCTCCTCCGGGACCTTGAAGACAAAGCGCCTCTTGCTCCGGGTCCGAAGCATCTGCTTCCGGCTGTTGTCCGAGGTGTCGGGCACGTTGAGCACTGTTCCTGCGGGCCGGGGAAGCGTCGCACGGCTGCTGCCTCCTAGGAAGTCCCCCCCACCCCCCCTCCATCCTCCGCTCCCTCCGCAAGAAGGGCTCACCTGAGGCCTTGCTCTTGAAATAGATCAGGCGGGGAGGCTCGCAGTTGAGGAGGTTGAGGCTGCCTTCCAAGTTCAGGGGCCGGATCTGTGTTGGAAACCAGATGGGTGAGGTGGCTGCCTGCGGGGGTCGCGGGCACCGCACGCGCACCCCGAGCCTTACCCTGCGCAAGCCGACCGTCTGCACCCACTCCATGGTGCGCACGTCGAAGACGTCCACGCCGTACTCGCTGTACACCGTGACGTGCGTGGGGCTGCAACCTAGCGCAGACGGAGCAGAGGGTGAGCCCTGGCCGCCCGCCGTGCGGAGGGAGCCTCCGCCCCTGACACCTGACAGCGTTTTAAACACCACGCCTATAAAGTGCTGGCGACGACCTGCTCAAAACTTCGTTTTTCATTTAGCTTGCTTGCTATTCAGCTACAGCAGAAACTTCTGTTACTTCGGGCAGAATGCGCCGCAAATCCAGGTAGGGGCCTAACGTTTTTTCCTTAAGGCAAACTCCTTCTTTGAGAGATACCGGCAAGTCAGACTTCTGAGTAAATAGTTAAAATCTCCCCTAAGAAACTACCGCTATGCTCCGGGCGAGGCGCTGGCCTTCCCCGAAGGTGTGTGCAGGCCGCCCTCCTGAACACACGCGCGCGGAGGAGACGATCACTCTCCTGCCACGGGCTGGGGACCTGCTGCTCTCCCCTCCCCCAGAGGGACGGGCCGCTGCAGGTCTGCATGGAAAACCCTCCTGGGACACCAGGGCTGGGAGACAGAGGCCCGCGGGCCCTCTGGCACCTGAGGTCCATGGGGACTATCCTGCCGTTAGGACAGCAGGGAGGATGTGTGAGCTGGCCCAGACAGCGCACTGCGGAGGGCGCAGCGAGATGGGGCCCCGACTCGGCCTGGTTCCTCTCCTCTCACGTCCCAGG